CTAACTTGATCCAGCGCTTACGGGCCTGCATCCACAGAGCACACAAGGTTATGACACGCACTAAGGGAAGAAGCGGTAAGCCGGATATCAGCTGGAAAAGCCCCAAACAATGCAGCAGGTGGATGGCGGCTCTTGTTCAGCCAACGAACCAATGTGACTATCATGCACCTACCGGTTTGCCGTACAGGTTGATTGTGCCTCCTGAAAGAGCTGCCAGCACCTTGGAGCCCAAGTTAAGGTTATTATCAATGCCATAATCGGGTGTGTCGCGAGCACCGTTCAGCCGAATAGTGGCCTTGGCGGGGTGCGGCTCCGTGGCGCTGCCAGCGCTCAGCACACCCTGGCCCATGACAATAATATAGGTAGCGGTCAGGTTGATGTCCCGCGTGGTGTCAAAGCGTAAATTGCCCTGAACGGTCAGCGCCAGCAGCGGCGGTGGTGACTCGTCAATGACCAGGTCCCAGCCGTACGGAATGGTCACATTGTCGCCAGCTACTGGTTTGCGGAAGTTGTTCACGGCGCTCGTGTTCCAGGTGCTCGTGTTAGACCAGTACAATGTGCCGTCGCGGATGTCCACAACGGCATCGGGTACATTGCTGCAGCCTGTGTTAGGGCAGGTGAATGCCTTCATGTCGAGGGTGGTGTCGAGGCGCCCATCTAAAAAGACTGTAAACTTGGTGTCGTTATAGGTGCGGTTACTCCACCACCAGGAATTAGGCGCCTTGGTTTTGTTGTAGTAGAACATGCCGTGGGTTGAGTTGGTGGGAGGCGGCATCGCGGTCAAGTTGTTCCACTGGTCGTTGTTATTGATTGTGAAGTGGTCCTTGACCTGAATGTGCTTTGTGGTAATGTACACGTAGTCACTCGTGTTCATCAAGTCCATCTTGTGCAGCCTGGAGAAAGGTGGTCATCGGGTTGGAGGGTAACCAGTTAGTTATGCCGATGGAAGATGTTCACGTACGATACCCTCATGAAATCTCAGTTTGATGTAGGAAGGTTTTCAGGTATGTTACCCCACGTAAAAAATTAGTTACGCCGATGGAAGATGTTCACGTACGATACCTCACGTGCAGTACCCAACGAGACTTAAGATGGCCATGGAAACATGGTTCGAGGTTCAATGGAAGGGAGGGTTTCACCCGGGTTACCCCATGTACAACTCCCAGCAGGTGACTCAGCAACCTGTCCCCAAAAGGTCTAAGCAACGTACTGACACAGCACATAATCCACAGAGCCCAACCCAATCTACCATGCCGGGCTTCCTTTCACCCTGCCCTGCTTACTGGTATGTGTCGGGGTCGAAACGGAAAGGCATGTCCCATTGCACCCAATAGTCGCGGGTAGTGGCGACAGTGAACTGGTAACCGTTCTCGTTATACTTGGTGAAGTGCACAAGAGATGTGCGATTGGTGGCCAACGAAGTAAGGATGAGGTCCTTGAACATGATGGACTGCGTGCAGGCGGCGGAAAGTGCAAGGTGGGTTGAAGGCAGGAAAAGGTGATGAGGCAAGCTTCCCTCGTCCAGGTTGAGCTCCAACGCATGCACATAGGAAGGTGTGACGACAGGCTCCCGCGGGAAAATTATATTGTCAGGGTGCAACCTAACCTGCACATTGAGCGCACCTGTTGTGCGGTGCTTCCATTCAACATACCTCGGGGGTGTGGCCGTGAAGCATCACGCGGCGGAACGACAAGCCGGGGCTGCAATATGCTCCGTTGTTGCTTGTGCGTGTGTTCCGCACATACTTGCATTCGTTGGGATCAAACAGCTCGCTTTCGACCGACGAATGCCAGGTAGCCCCGGGGCCAAGAGTTACGTTGGTGCCCACATTAGGCAAGAGCGAAGCGGGCAGCGACTTGTTGTTCAGTAACGTGCCGTCTGTGTCAAGGTAGACGCCCTGGTGGCCCCAGCTCCAGTATGACATCATGGAGCTGCTGTTGTCTGATGTGATGATAGAGATGTTGGCTGTGAATGTGGTAGAGCCGCCCTGGAAGGTCTTGCACTTGCCGCATGCCTCCAACATGGAGAATAGCGTGCAGTCATCCCAGCCCTTGAAGTCCACAAATGTTACGTTGATTAGGCTCATTAATGCAGAGTGCTTCGAGTCGCCTAGGACGGGACTCTGTGTAATGATACCCGCCACACGGCGGCATGAGGGCCACTGACCAGCATTACCGCGCTTTCCAACACTGGTGCGCGCGTAAATGGTAGCATTCACGATACCGGCCATCTCTGTGATCTGTAACCCCACACGGCTGCGGTCGTCGACCACCCATGACAATTCAAGATCGCCACCATGGTCCTTGCCGTTGACAACGTGCTGCTTGGGCCCACCACCGTTATCGCCTGTTATCACGTTGACAAGCTGCACCAAGCCAACCTGTATGAGTGCGTGCAGGCATAAGGAACACCTCGTCGCTCCTTATTTAGCAGTTATGGATGCAAATAATAAAAATGCATGCCAATGCCGTCCATGGCAAAAAACGACATAGGGAGCCACCAATCCTGGATTGAGCAGCGTACCTGAGTGCCGACGGCGCCCTTCATGCCGTTCTTATAGGCCACCAGGCCGTTGAACACCGCAGGCACTTGCTCAAACGTTCCAGAAAACCCGTTGCACGGGATGTTACGGGGGTAGAACTCTGGATGGATACGCAGTCCGTAAAACATGCTCGAGTGGGCGGTGTTGTTGGTGAACTCTAGGAGGGGTGTAAACTTGGGGCAGATGGTCGTCGTGTATGACGGGCCCTCGGGATTATCCTGTAAAATGAACAGTAGCAAATAACGGATTCCGTGATTAGGAGAACTTGCGGAGATGCAAATAATAATGGTATCAGTAGAAGCAACATTTATGACAATGCAAAACTGGGCTACCCCTTGCTGGAAAGCCAAGAAAGGTCTCCGGCAAATGCATGTGAACGCTGTGGGCTTACCAGCATGCGATACCAATACCCATAAGCCGCCGAACCAGCAGCCACGTTGTTGCGCACTGTGTTGTTTGGATTGGTAATCCAGAAAGCGGCTGGGGTGGTATCGGTGTTGAGCAGCGCGTCTGATACTTTGACATGAATGGCCAGGTTGCCTTCAATGAGGTTGCCAGACTCAATACCGTCCTGCAGTACATAGCGTCCTCCGTTTCACTAACCAAAACTCCGGCCACAGCAAAAAA